CCTGCCTGCCAATGCAGGAGATATAAGAGATACGGGTTCAATCCCTGGGTCAGGGAGATTCCTTGGTGAAAGATTCCTTGGAGAATACCCACACCAGTATTCTTGCCTGGAGAATCCCCATGGACGGAGGAGACTGGTGGGCTGCAGCCCATAGGGTCACAAAGAGTCAGACATAACTGAAGCAACTGAGCATGCACACATGCACAAGTTGTAGGAACCCATTTCAAGCTGGCTTCAGCACAGTAGGAGACTTCTTCTGGGTTTGCTTTTCAGGATCCCTCTGTCCCATCCCTCCCGCCTGCTGCCCTTTGAGCCACTTCGCTGTTTACCAGCTCTCCACCCAGAGATAGACATGGTCAGTCCTGCACTGATCTCCTCCCGTGAAAGGACAGCGGGGAAGATGCTGAACTAAGAGCTGCTGACTTTTTTCCTCCTTTTCCTTTCATTGCCCATGGTCTGCAATTACTCGTTCCACTCTTGGCCTTCAGAGCTGTGAGAAGGTGAGCAGGTGTTGAGAGCAACTTTGCTCTTTTTGAGTCAATCTCGTTACGTGGAAAAGGTCCAGCTCTCTCGGGGGAGCTGGCAGCTCCTTCAAGGCCAGACCACTGGGCAAGGCTCCCGAGAGCAGCGCTAACCTATTTGATGTCACAAGGAGCTGGGCCAGGCCTGCTCGCCTCTGCCCCCATGAGCAGACTGCTTTTCAAACAGACGTACAGATAATTGACTGTCATAGGTAGACTGCAAAGGTGTACCAGGCTTGCAGAAAAAAGAACTCTGAGCTGAGGACATTTCTGCCCCTCAGGTCTGTGCCCTCCTTCTATCTTTCGTTGACCCTCCTGTGCTGCAGGACATGGAGGAGCCAGTATCTTGCCAGTAGGCCTGCTCATGTGCTGTGGAAGATGCTGGTGGTGGGAAGGGCAAAGGGGAGAGGGAGGGGAGGTGTGCAGAAAAGCAGGCCTTACCTGCATCTAAGTGGACGAACCCACTGCAGGTCCCTGCAGGACTTGAGCCTTAAGGATTAACCCTTAAGAAGCCACCAAGGCAAATAAGTACGTGATTACATTCACGGCTAGTTACTTAATAATAATAACCAGCATCTGTTCCTGGCACCGTTCTAATCCGCTTACACTTGTCAGTTCATTTAATCTTCACAGTGCTACGAGGTAGGCACTTTGATTAGCTTTATTTTACAAATAAGAAAATCGAGTCACAGACTGGTTAAATACTGGGCCCAGTTTCACAGGGCAAATCAGTGACAGAACCAGGATTTGAACACAGATAGCCCCCCTCCAGAGTCACTCCTCCAACTGCTTCCTAGGTTATCGGCCTCTCACGATGCAGGACAGGGTGGAATCAGTCTTTGCTTTAGTGTGCTGTGATCATTTAAGAGATGCTACTAGGGAGAAGACTTATTTTTAAAGTCTAACCATTGGAGAAGCAAGTTTTAGCAACAGAAGATTTCACGACTCATTCAAAGCTCACCGGCCAGTTTGCATGTCTCCTAACTCCCACAGGAGTAAAACTGGCTGCTCTCTCTGCCCTTAGCAGAGAGGAGCCAGGCTCTTAATGTGCAAGGGGAGGGAAGGCCAGTCATTATTTAAGCTATGTGATCTGATGCGGGGTGGGGGCGGTGCTGGAAAGTGAACAAAGGTGGGAATTATTGCACTGCAGCTCACCCTGACGTTTACTATGATTCTAAAATCTGTGCACATATGGTAACTGCTGGAAGCACCGAATAGCAGTTGGAAACCATAGACTTAAGGAACAAACCGGCTACTCCCTTCTTTTGTGTGTGTGAAAAGAAACACACAATTTTAAAAAATTGAAGTATAGTTGATTTACAATATATTATATTAGTTTCAGATCTAGAACATAGTAGTTCAATATTTTTATAGCTTACACTCCATTAAAATTATTAGAAAATATTGGCTATATTCCCTGTGCTGTGCAATATATCCTTGTAGCTTATTTATGTTATACCTAGTAGTTTTAACCTCTTAATTCCTGCCCCCTCTCTGGTCCTCCCCACTTCCTTCTCCACATTGGTAACCTCTAGTTTGTCCTCTAATATGTGAGTCTGTTTTGTTATATTCATTCACTTATTTTATTTTTTAGGTTCCACTAGAAGTGATTACATGCAGTATGTGTCTTTCCCTTGTCCTACTCCTTCCCTTCACATCTTTTCCACAGCCTATTTTCACTCCCAAATCTGAAGAAAATCCAGAACAAACTATTTCCTCATCTTTAATCCATCCCCACACATCAGTGTGAGAGTTTTCCCTCTCCTTTTCCAGTTTTGTTTGGATCTTAAATTCCTCTTCTTTGTTGTATGGGGCTGGATGGAGAGCTGGAAATGTCAGGATGACATCTTATTTGAGATCCGTGATGGCCCTTGGGAATTCAGGCCAAGGGCTGTTTCTCTTGCCAGTTGACGGAGCCCCACTGTATAGCTAGCAAAACCCACCCCTTCCCCTCCGCTGACACCTCCCCCCTCCCCCACGTGGTCAGTCATCTTTCCCGTCTTCTCTGACTTCTTTGGGAGCATCCTGGTGGTGATGTCCATTCCCCTTCTCTGTGCCTGGTGCTGACTCCACTTAGCCTCTGTCTTGGTTTGTTCAAGCTGCTATAACACCACAGACTGGTTAGCGTATAAACAACAGAAACTCACTTCTCACAGCTCTGGAGGTTGGGAAGTCCAAGGTCAAGGTGTCAGAAGATATGGTGTCAGGTGAAGGCCTGCTTCCTGGCTCACAGACAGCTGTGTCTTCTTGCTGCATCCTCACATGGCAGAAGGGCTGAGGGAGCTGGCTGGTGTCTTTGTCATGAGGGCACCAATCCCATTCATGTGGGATTCATTCAACCCCATTCACCCTCATGACCTAATCACCTCCCAGAGGCCCCATCATTTTGGGGAGCTAGGTTTCAACATATGAATTTTGGTGAGAGGGAGATACAAATATTCAATAGATAGGAACCTCTCTCATTGTCTGGTTTACATGTTTTGTCTCTCTCTTCTAAACGATAAGATTCTGGAGGGTCTGAACCGTGTTTTCTTCATTCATTACCTGTCTTACTCCATCAGCAAGCAGTGCTTGTCACTCCTGTGTCCACATACATTCATCTTTGTAGACTTAATGTTGAGCACCCTGCCTTTGACCAAGAAATGAATCCACTGCTATTCAGAGATTTTCCTGTCTTCTGACTTCTCTTTTTTTTCCCTAGCCAAGTTGCCTTGGGAACTAACGGAACTAGCTTCCCTTCCTCTCAAGAGTGAGAGAGGTCTGGAAGTCAGTCTCATGGGTAAACTGAGGCTCCCCTAGATGCCTGCTGTTTCACATAACAAGTTCTCCCAGAAAAACCAGTTTGGGCAGCACATTCTTTTCTAACCACATCTCTCTAGAAAGCCCTATACAGAGAGTACTAGCTTCCTATGTGGTATCCACTCTCTTTCTTAAGAGACAGAGATACAATGTCATTCTAGGTGGAACGTAGTCAGTCAAAGGACTATGATTTTCTGCCTCTTTTGTAGAAGATGAAAGCAGAAATTGTTGGATGGAACTTCTGGGAAGGACTTTTTTGCCCTTCCATCCTACCTGCCTGTTTGGGGTGTGGATATGATGGCTGGAGCTTCAAGAACCATATTGAGGTTGCAAAGAAGAGACTAAAAGAATCACAAAGACTCAGTCCTAATTTTCTTGATTTTAATTGATTCTTAAGTCACTGATCCAATGCCAGTAATTTCCCACACTTTGTTTTCACATTAAACAATAAATAGACCATTGTGTTTGTCACTTGTAACCAGTCCTATTACTAGCAACTGAAAGCAATTTCTAGTTGATACACTAAATTAGATGATAGTTCAGTGAATACTCAAAGGCCTTAGTTACAGGGAGTCGAGCTCTTATAAAGGCACCGTTCTCAGAACTTCTTCCTTTGCTGACAAGCCCTGGTGTCAGTACTCTGTGAGTTAAGTGAGATCTTTTTGGTGTTCCCAAATTTAACTTATTCAGTGAAAGTGAAAAATGAAAGCCACTGGGCTCCCTCCCTAGAAGCAGTTTTAGGAAAGCAAGTCATCATCTCCCTTTGACGCGCGGTCACCTGCGACAGCATCGCTGATGCCATGCCCGCGAGCTACATGTTGAAGTTCTCCAACATCTGGCAGCTGAGCTGCTATTGGCTTTTTTAAGCACAAGTAAAACCAAGCATTCAAATGTTCCCAATTTAGCCTCTGAAGCATTATGTTGGGTGCCTCTACCTTGGCCCACAGCTGCCAGCAATCCAAAGCTCTTTCTTGTACAGACATTTTCAGTTTTTTAAATGTAGGTATTCTCCTCATTCCCAATGGTGGTGAAGTTACCCTGGAGGAATTTTTATAGAGGCAGTCACTGTTGTGTCTTACCAACCAAAGGTGTCCAAAAGCTTTCCCTGGGGCTGGGGCGGTAGGGACGATCTTTACAAGAGAGCAGAAAACCCTGCTGAGAAGCTGAAAGTCCTGTGTCCTGTTAATAATGCCTTATGAAGAACATGTTCCTCTCTGTAGCCAGGCCCTCATCTCAAGCAGCCAATTTTTTTTCAGTTTTTTATGAATTTACTTATTTTTCATTGAAGGATAATTGCTTCACAGTATTGTGTTGATTTCTGCCATATATCAACATGAATTAGCCATAGGTATACATATATCCCATCCTTCTTGAACCTCCCTCCCACTGCCCACCCCACCCCACCCCTCTACGTTGTCACAGAACCCCAATGTAAGCTCCCCGAGTCATACAACAAATTCCCACTGGCTGTCTATTTTACATATTGTAGTGCATATGTTTCTGTGCTACTCTCTCCATTCATCCCACCCTCTCCTTCCCCACCTCCCCCACTCTGCCATGTCCAAAAGTCTGTTCTCTATGTCTTCAAGCAGCCAGTTTTAAGTGGTAGTCATGCCATAAGGGTGGGGTCAAGGGGGTGGGAATAAAACCCCACCTTCTTTCTCCTTCATGCCTGTGCAGGGTGAGAAGCCGAGTCAGTGGGAGGCAGCGCTCTGGAACTGGAGGACCCCATCCTCAAGGGCTAACCATCCCATCTTGTGGACCCCTTCATCTGCAGACGGTGCTGCCTGGGACCTGAGGATCCTTGGACCACCCTCTCGTTCTGGGCTCTTTCTCCAATCATGCTCCAGGTTAGTGCCACGGTCTGTGAGAAGTGAGAGGAATCGGAGAATATCAGCACAAGGGCTTCAGAGACTGCCTCGCCCCACTTTCCAATTTGACATTTGGATAAAACAAAGTCCACGGCAGAGAGGTGACAAGTCTCAGGGCACATCACTAGTTAGTGACTAGCTTTGGGTCCTGACCCTAGGCTGGCAAGTTTGGCATAATAATAGATAATAGCAAGAGCACGCACACACACTTGCACGCACAACTCTTGTTTAGTTCACTATGTGTGAGGTACTGTTGTAAAATATGTATAGAGTTGTGTGCATATTATCATTCCCATTTTATGCATAAGGACTACCGAGCTTGGAGATGTTAAGTAACTTGCCCAAAGTCACCACTAGTGACTGGCAGAGCCAGAACTTGAACTCAGGCAGTTTGGCTCAGCTCTTGACCCCTGCACAGTCCTGATATACTAGCATGCGGTCTTCACTCACTCATGGTCCAGAGGACCATTCCTTGGCCAGAGGATTCCTGCCTTGATATCTTACCCTTGGAGAGATATTTCCCCAAACATGATAGTATGAGGTACTAAAGTAAGGCTTCAGCCAAAACTAAAACTAAGCAAAAAATTCCATGGTCAAACAAATGTGCAGTGTTGTATTAAAACAAGTTAAACAGAATTGCTTTTACCACAGAACTTCTCAGAGCCTTCAATATGCCAATGGACATGTGAATTTTCTAAAAGAGTCTAAAAGCATTTCCTAAACCTTTTGGAACATAGAGCATTTTCTCATGCATTGATGTCATCACACATCATGTGGCTTCTGGAAAACTCAGTCAAGTAAAAAAGGCAAATTTTATTTGATGTATTGTTATGAAAATAGCTTTGACCTCAAGAATGCACTAAAATGGAAAACAACTTTGACTCAAAGATACCTCCAGGGTTTCCTGGAACACAGTTTGAGAACTGATGTCCTAGAAAATAATATATTAAAAACAAGACTTGAAGGACGTGATCACGGGCTAATTAGCATCTTGTCCTTGTGAAGCACAAGGAGAAAAACGAATGAAAGAGCATGAATGTGTTTTAAGAATCAGTCTTTCATTCTACTAACTCCTTATTCTCCCTTTTCTTTCTCTTCTCTTCCCTCCTTTCTTCTTTCCATTTAAAAATTCCTCATTGCTCCATAAGGGATTTAAAGTAGCTTACTCTTCCAGTAAGTCAACATTCTTATTGATAGAGACACATCGCAGAATAAGTAAAGTGTTATTTTAGTGAGGTGGGGGGGGACTGTCCCTATCCCCCCAATTCTCCTGGATTTGCACCCCTATCAATCAACCTGAAATTTCTATTTTGTTTATTTGTCTATTTTGTTTATTTGGGTAAAGCCGTGTCTTTCTAGAAAGAGGCTCTGGTTCAGATGCAATCTGGATATGGCAGGAAGTGCGACACGTTGGGCTACACCCCCTGAACCTCTGCACAAGCGGCTCAGTTTAGGGAGCTTTTCCCGAAAAAAAATCCTGAGGGATCGGGACTCAGAATGGGGGAGCACTGCAGCAGCTACCCTCAAGGGACCCTAGAAAGTGAGGTACCTGGTGGGAAGTAGCTGCTGTTTTTTAGGGAGATGTCCAAAGGTGCCTTTTATTCATTCAACACTTTTACCTGGGGTCTGCCCTGGATCCGAGGTCATTGTGTGTTTCTTCTAGACCAGAGGTCTTTGAGGACTTTCCTGGTGGTTCAGACAGTAAACAATCTGCCAGCAATGCAGGAGACCAGGGTTCGATCCCTGGGTCAGAAAGATCCTCTGGAGAATGGAATTGCAACCCACTCCAGTATTGTTGCTTGGAGAATCCCATGAACAGAGGAGGCTGGCAGGCTACAGTCCATGGGGTCACAAAGAGTCAGACACGACTGAGTGACTAACACAGGGGTCTTTGACCCTGACCTCACCCTTCAGGACAAAGCCAATGGGACGTCTGGGGTAACCCAGACCAGGCGGGAAAAATGAAACGTATGTCCTACTGGGTGACACAGGGTCCTCCTTCGTAACACTGGCCTGTGCAATGTCGCCTTGTCCTTTGGCTCACGAGGCAGCTGATCCGCAGGAAGACGCTCTGGTGCCCACAGCCTCGGCCAGATGGAGAATCACCGGTGGAGGGACACTGAGGGTCCCCCCTCCTGAGGGCAGCTCTGCCTTCCTCGCTTCTTCGTCTTGTCCACGCTTGGGCTCTCGGGCTCCTGCCAGCTGATGCTAGCAGTGAATCACCACCTCTTACTCTTGCCACTGCCGTGTGCCATGTGCCACACTTGAGCCCAGGTGTGCGCCAGGCGAGTCCTTAGCTGTTTGCCTGGAGTGGGCTCGCGTGGTGGCTGATGTGCTCCCCGTCCAGGCAAACCCATCCAACTAAGTGTTTTATAAACAACAAACAAGTTTATTGGGGGTTTTCCACATACAGTAGTGCTACACACTCCTTCAGAAAATGCAGATGAGAAAGTGGAAACGTCACCCACAATCCTGTCACCCAGAGATAAGGACAGCCAGCTCTGGGTGTGAACCCCACCTGCCCTACAGACACTTGTGGAAGGTCCCAGGTGGGATTCATACGTGGTCAGGGTCACGGCCGTTCTTCCAGCCTCCCCGCCCTCCACCCCCACCCCCATCGCTTTGCAGCAGTGTCTGCACTGCAGAAGGGGCCGGGTTTTGTGTGTGGATTCTCTGGCTTAGAGCGAGATGGAGAGGACGGCGTGGAGTCAGGCCCCCTTTCTGTCTCAGGGACGGATGGATCCGATGGGGCGCGAGGCGGGGAGGAGCCCGCTCCCCAAGTCTGAGCAGGATGCAGTGTGTCCCACACAGGGAGGATTCGGAAGTTCAGCTCTGCTCAGGCGAATGAAGGATGTCTGTTCTCCGTCATGTATTGAAGCCACTAATTTCCTCTCGGGACAGCCCTGTCGTGGAGTGGGGGGCCTCAGGTAGGGATACCACCCTCTTGCCAAGTGTCTGCCGCTCTAATTCCTGGCTCCTCTCCTCACACTTGATGCTGCCTTGGTATTCCCTTTAGATCTCCTCATTTGAAGTCTGTATTTAGTAGCACGTGCATAGCAGTTAAATATGAAATCCAAGACGTCATAAACCGTCGGCCTCCTGTTTCATATAAAATGCATGAGGAGACATCACCAGCATTCACAGGCTCTGATGAATCACCTCAGGTTCTCAACGTCTCCCCACCAGTCTTTTTAAAAAATTTCTTATTTTGAACTGGGGGCTTCTCCTGTGGCTCAGTGGCAAAGAATCTGCCTGCAATGCAGAAGCTGCAGGTGACGCGGGTTTGATCCCTGGGTCAGGAAGATCCCCTGGAGGAGGGCATGGCAACCCACTTCAATATTCTTGCCTAGAGAATCCCATGGACGGAGGAGCCTGGCAGGCTACAGTCCATCGGGTTGCAAAAAGTTGGACATGACAGAAGCGACTTAGCACCAGCACGCACATAGCCAGTTAAAGTATCACTCTGAATTCTTCAGATTAAACGGGGAAAGAGCTGGGGAAAGTTGGGCTCTTTTGAGGCCTGCACTGGCCCGCTAGAGCAACCCTCTCTGCTGGCTCAGCCTCTTCGCCGGCAGCCCCTGCTGGCTCATCTGTTTATTCTGCAATTAGCACTAGAAGGAGACTCACGGGGAAATTTTTGCTTGGGGGCCCAGAATTTATATTTCAGAAATTCTTCCCTTCGTTAGAGCACCAGATTCTGTCAGGAGAGTTTGAAAACAATAGCTCTCAGTGCTCTTCCAAAAACACCCTTGATGATAATCATTGGTAATTTCAATATCCACAAATGTGGTCTTTCTAATACTGTCTCTCAGTTCTTCAACTTCTTCCCCTCCCAGTGATTTTATCCTTTATGGCATCTTTTAAAAAATTTTTATATTTGTATCTCATATAGAGTACTGCTTTCATTCATTTTTCAAAATTTTATTGGTAAATAGTTTATTTACTTTGTATTAGTTTCGGGTGTACAGTATAATGATTCAGTTTTATATATATATTCCATTTTTTATTTTATATATATATAATATATATGTATACACACACATATATTCATTCTTGTTCAGATTATTTTCCCACATAAGTTATTACAGAATATTGAGTAGGATTCCCTGTGCTAAAGAGGAGGTCCTTGTACAGGTTGGTTATCTATTTTATATACTGTAGTGTGTATATTTTAACCCCAAGCTCATAATTTATCCACCCCACCTCACCCCCCTACATTTCCCCTTTGGACACTGTTTCTGAAATCTGTAAATCTATTTTTGTTTTGTAAATAAGTTCATTTATAAAAATTAGATTCCACATACAAGTGATGTCATGATATTTGGCTTTCTTTGGGTGACTTAGTATGTAATCTCTAGGTCCATACAAATTGCTGCAAATGGCATTCTTTCATTCTTTTTTGCTTAGTCGCTCAGTCACATTTGACTCTTTGTGACCCTGTGAACTGTAGCTGGCCAGGCTCCTCTGCCCATGGAATTTTCCAGGCAAGAATACTGGAGTGGGGTGCCATTTCCTTCTCCAGAGGATCGTCCTAACCCAGGGATTGAACCCACATCTCCAGTCTCCTGCTTTGCAGGCAGATTCTTCACTTACTGAGTCATCTGGGAAGCCACTAGGAAATGACAGTGACAAGCTTTAAGTAGGATTTTCTACCCATTTCATCAGAATTAACCACATATCTCAAGACCTTAACTGGTTGGTCATCCAGATAGCAGACTTAGGAGAGGGGACTCTAGGATGGAACAGGACAGAAACTTGGTCTGTTAAGGAAGGCAGCGAGCCAGCAGCTGAGAGCACTGAGACTCTGTCAGTGGCGGGTTCAAGTCCCTGCTCTGGAACGTTAATGAGATGACCTAACCTGGGCATCTTGAGAGTTGAGATGATGTGTGGAAAGCACTGGAACAGCAACTGGGACATAGGCACTGTCGCATATTCACTCTGAGGACTTTTAAAAAAAAAATTAAACATGGCACCGAGAAGTTTTTAAGCACATTCTGGTTTAATCGGTATTTTGACTCTGTAAGGTGGTGTCAGTATCTGTCCTGCAGTTGGGAAAGTGACTCCCTAGGCTGTCTGGCCTGTGCCCAGGAGATGGGGTAACACAGGCATGTCCGTGGAGGGGGTGCAGGTGAGTACCCAAGGTAGGAGGAAAGACAAGACTCTCCCCTGGCTGCCAGGCTGGAGGTGCAGAAGCTCATTCATCCTTCCCTGGGCACGTGGCTGGTCTCCTTAGAAACTGCTGGGGCAGGTCTGGTGGTCAGGGCACTTGGCCCAAGGCCCCAGCATGGGCTGTTCACAGGAGCATGTAACAAAGTCGGGATTCTTGCTCCAGGTTATCGACACAGGAGGTGGGAGGTGGGAGGGGATGGGGGGACATGGGAAGCTAGTGAAGACATCCCCCTGACTATTCTTTTTTATGGCTGAGTAATACTCCATTGTATATATGGACAACATCTTATTTATCCATTCCTCTGTCAATGGATGTTTGAACTGCCTCCATGTTTTGGCTATTGTGAGTAGTGTTGCAATGAACAGGGGTATATGTATCTTTTCAAATTATAGTTTTCTCCAGATATATGCCCAGGAGTGGGATTGCTGGATCATCTAGTAATTCTATTTTTAGTTTTTTAAAGAAAACTCCCATAGTGATTATACTAATTTACATTCCTACCAGCAGTGTAGGAGGGTTTCTTTTTCTCCACATCCTTTCCAGTATCTGTTATTTGTAGACTCTTTGATGATGGTCATTCTTACCAGTGTGAGGTGATACCTCATGGCAGTTTTGATTTGCATTTCTCTGATAATTAGTGATATTAAGCATCTTTTCACATGCCTCTTGGTCATCTGTATGTCTTCTTTGAAGAAATGTCTATTTATATCTTCTGCCCATTTTTTGTTGGGTTTTTGTTTTTTGATATTGAGCTGCATGAGCTGTTTGTATATTTTGGAGATTAAGCCCTTTTTGTTCAGTTCATTTGCAAATATTTTCTCCTGTGGGTTGTCTTTTTGTTTTGTTTATGGTTTCCTTTGCTGTGCAAAAGCTTTTACATTTAATTAGATCCTGTTTGTTTATTTCTGCTTTTATTTTCATTACTCTAGGAGGCGGAGCAAAAAAGATATTGCTGCAATTTATGTCAAAGAGTGTTCTGCCTGTTTTCCTCTAAGAATTTTATAGTGCCCGGCCTTACATTTAGGTCTTTGATCCATTTTGAGTTTATTTCTGTATATGGTGTTAGAGAATGTTCTAATTTCATTCTTTTGCATTCTGTCCAGTTTTCTTAGCACCATTTATTGAAGAGACTTTTTCTCCACTGTATATTCTTGCCTCCTTCATCATAGTTTAATTGACCATAGGTGTGTGGGTTTATTTGGGGGATTTCTACCCTGTTCTACTGATTCATTATGGTATTTTGGCCACTCATGCCCTGGCCATGCCCTTGACCTTGCCATTACTAACAGTTGTACTCCCTTCATAATCTCAATTTCAAATGTTCCACCCTCTCATCATAGTTTTCTCCTTCCAGTTCAGGCTTCTATTCTGTCCAGTGGATCCTCAATCTCATTGAGATTCACAGTCAATGGATCTATCACCTTTTCACTGTTCCCCACCACGCCCATTGCCACCCACAAGTCCTCACTGCCCTTCTTACCCACTTAGATTATGTGGTTTCTCATTATCACCCTGGCCACTAATATACAATCAACTCTCTTCCACCTCTTCCTTCATTGTACCTTCTTGGCAAGACCAGAGGCCTGGCTGAATCTACCTCTGTCCACTGTGTCTGCACAGCAAGGCTGAGCATGCCACTCGCTGTGGTTGAACTTCAGGTGGGACCTTGGTGATGGCCTGGTGCTTCTATTCCATTTCCCTACACCATTATTCTCCCACTCTGTAAGACAATGATTTCCCATTTTCTCCTCCCTTCTCAAACCCTCAGTCTTCCTCCCCCATGCTCACTCTCAGCTGATGACCTTGCTTCCTAGTTCAGGGGGATTATAGAACAATAAACTGACAAGTTCCACATTCCCACCACCGCACCCACCCACCCATCCTCATCAGTGCTTATCTGCTCTGCCTTCCCTGCTGGCACTGGGGTGAATTTCCCAAGCTTCAATCAGCAGTACTCAAACTGTGGTCCTTGTTCCTCACTGGCAGCATCAGCATCACCTGGGAGGTGATCAGAAGTACCAATTCTCCAAACCACTCCAGACCTGCTGAATCAGAATTTGTTGGGTAGAGCCTGGAACCTGTCTCTCCAAGTGATTCTTCAGCACAATGAAGTTTAAGAAGCACTTAGCTTAGAATCCTTTCTCTCTCCTGTTCTGGGGTATCTCTCTCGGGTGTTGTCCTCTCTCTTTTGCATCATCGTACTTTTTCCTCTTTTGGATAAATTTCCATTCCATCCTGTATATAGGCTGGATACAAAAAACACAACCTCTCTTGATTCCAAATCCCACTTTAGCTACCACCCCATTTCTCTACTTCCTTCTTTCTTTTAACATACCCTCAATCAGTCTTTTGCTCCCACCATCCCCTAAAATGAACTTGCTAAGGCCATCTTGGCAGAAACTGGCTAAATGGTCACCCAACTGTTTCTTCTTTCTGGAGACACAACTAACTGACATTTCTCAATATCTGTGCATGTAAATAAGCCCAGATGACTAGTTCTTGGTATGGGAGTGTGAACTTTCAGGCTGAGGCATTTGAGCGAGGTATGCTTCGACATGGACTGTCCCTTCCCCTCTCTACAATAATGATCCCTATGTTTATATCTCTAGCCTGGACCCAAGGCTTGCTTATCCAACTGCCTACGAGGCATCTCCACTTGGCATCCACTAGACAACTCCATGGGGCTTCCTAGGTGGTGTTAGTGGCAAAGAACCTGCCTGCCAATACAGGAGACATAAGAGACACAGGTCCTGGGTC